ATCTATCTCTCTCTCTCTCTCTCTCTCTCTCTCTCTCTCTCTCTCTCTCTCTCTCTCTTCTCACTCTCTCTCACTCTTCTCTCTTCTCTCTCTCTACTCTCTCTACTCTCCTCTACTCTCTCTCTCTCTCCTCTCTCTCTCTCTCTCTCTCTCTCTTCTCTCTCTCTCTCTCTCTCTCTCCTCTCTCTCTCTACTCTCTCTCTCTCTACTCACTCTCTCTCTACTCTCTACTCACTCTCTCTCTCCTCTCTCTCTCTCTCTCTCTCTCTCTCTCTCTCTCTCTCTCTCTCTCTCTCTCTCTCTCTCTCTCTCTCTCTCTCTCGTCGTATTTATCACCACATACCGTCAATGTGTCCTTTTTCTTCACCATCCTGCAACCTCTTGTGTAACAATAATAGAGAAATTCCTCAGTGTTACCACGAAAGAAAAGAAGGGAAGATAAACCGAAGGAACGAACGAGGGAGAAGGAAATCTCAAGATCAGAAAGACAAAAGAAATAAGAGAGCAAATCGGGCCGATTAGTCCCCGTCCTCCGACCTCCTCTTTCCTCTCAGCCCGAAAGAGCCCGAACGCCGACCGTCTCAGCCCACCCAAAAGTACGGTGTAATGCCTCGGCTATTGGTCGCGATGAGAACTCGTTCAAGACATGTTTGGAACTCGTTCGGGACTAATTCTCGGCGGGCCAATCAAGGTGCAGGACGGGGCTGCGTGACGTCATCGTGTGGTCGAAGTGGGGGGAGGGGGAGGAGAGGGGAAGTGGGAGGAGGAGGGAGAGGGAGGGGATGGTGAGGGAAAGGGAGAGGGAAAAGTGGGAGGAGGGGAGGAGAGGGAAAAGTAGGAGGGAGAGGGAAGGGAAAAGTGAGGGAGAGGGAGAGGGAAAAGGGAGATGGGGAGGGAGAGTCAAAAGGTAGATGAGGAGGGAGAGGGAAAAGGGGGAGATGGGGAGGAGATTAAGGGAGACATCTAGCTAGGAATTTAGGGAGGCTTTCGAGGGAAAAGGGAGGAATTTCGCGAGGCATCCAGCGTGGGCGAGAGGACAGAGAAAGGCAGGGAAGGCAACCACGATGAATAATGTATGGTGTTTGCAAAGGAAGGTTTTGCAACATAACACGGCCGACGGTAATGAGGGAGGGATGCAAATATTAGGATGATTATAAGGGTAAGAGCCGGGTAGCATTACGCTTGCTAATAATGGCGATCACAAAGAATGCTAATAACAGTAACATCAACTAAAATGTTAATTAAGTGTTATCATCACACTCGGGCGCGGATACACCCTTGCACATGCATGCTATCATCACTACTATCATAACGTATCCTTATTGCTGTTATCATTATCATCATATTCAATAATATTATTATGAATATTGTTGTTATTATCATTATAATTATCATTATTATCATTATTATCATTATCATTATTATTATAATTATTATCATTATCATTATTATTATTATTATTATTATCAGTATTATCATTATCATAATTATCAGTATCTTTATCATTGGGGCGAGAAAGAGCTTGTGACGTAAAACCGAATCTTTACCGATATATCAACAATAATTTTTATCATTATCATCATCATCCTTATTATTATCATTATCATTATCATTATCATTGTAGTAATAATAATGATGATGATGATGATAATAATAATAATAATAATAATAATAGTAATAATAATAATAATAATAATAATAATAATAATAATAATAATAATAACAATAATGGTAATGGTAATAATTATCATAACAATGATAATAACGACAATAACAGCAGCAACAACAACAGCTATAGAGACAATAGTGATGATAATAATAATCATAATAATAATAGTAATGATGATAACAATGATAATGATAATAACAATAACAATAATAATAATGATACTACTACTACTCATAATAATGATAACAATAATGATAATAGTAATAAGGATAATTATGATTATAATAATCATCATAAGCATGTGATGATAATGATACTGATAATAATGATAATGATTATGAATATAAAAATTATAAAGAGGATTTGTATGACAATGACAATAAAAAGGATGATTATAATGATAATGTAATGAATGCTGATTACAACAATAAATGATAATAACTATAATTATAACTTCAATAATGACGATGATAATCATGACAATAATAGTGATAATGATGATAATAATTATAATGCTAAAAATAACAATAATAATAATAATAACAATAATAATAAGAACAATGATAATAATGAAAATAATAATCATAACAATAATAATAAAAATAATAATTCATTAATGGTAATGATAATGGTAATGAAAATAATGATGATGGTAAAGATAATAATAATGATAGTAATTGTTATAATCATTATTATCATTATAATTATCATCATTACTACTACCAAAACTATTAATTTTATGATCATTAATATGTCATCGTTATTATCATTGTTATTGTTATCATTATCATCATCATCATCATCATCATCATCCTCATCATCATCATCATTATCATTATTATCATTGTTACTTTTATTTTCTATCATTTTATTTTCATTACTATCCTTATCACCGTTATTATTATGACAGTAACAGTAATGGCAATTATCAATAATTATCATTATTATCATTATTAATCATTATTGTTTATTATTATCATTATAAAAATAATGATAGAAATTATAATAATATCAACAATGACAGCAAAGAGAATGAGGGATGATGATGACGATCAGTATGACGACGGATGATGATAAAAAAAAAACATTTAAAATCATTTAATCTCAATTCAGATCAGCGCCATCAAATAACATTAACACGAATCAAGCCCACCATACATCACTTAATTCTCGTAATTCGATAATCACACTACATCCCTTGCCATTGAATTCCCAGTAATGCCTTCATGCTGTTAACCGTAGTCGCTTTTTAACGTTAAGTAAATATGAAGTAATTTCGCTAACGCCCAACGTAATGGCAGCCATTTCCCCTTACCTGTTGCTTAATGAACATAGTACCTTTAAGAGATGTGTTCGGGCTAATGGACGGGGAGACTGTAGAGGATGGAGGGCTGGCTGTAGGGGGACTTTTTGTATTTTTCTTTGTGGCGTCTTTTGATGGTTTTTTAATGTATTTTTACTACTTGTTTGTTTAGGAGGAAAGGGTTGTTTCTTGTTGCTTTTTTATTTTTATTTTTTTTTATTTATTTTTTTTTTTTTTTTTTTTTTTTTGTGGTTGTGTGTGTTTTATTGTTTTTATTTTATTTTATTTTTCGTGTGGAGGGCTGGCTGTAGGGGGGACTTTTGTATTTTCTTGTGGCGTCTTTTTGATGGTTTTTAATGTATTTTTTACTTGTTTGTTTAGGAGGAAGGGGGTTGTTTGTTGTTGCATTTTTACTTTTTTATTTATTATTTTTGGTTGGTGTGTGTTTATTGTTTTATTGTTTTTACTTTTATTTTTCGTGTGGAGGGCTGGTTGTAGGGGGGACTTTTGTATTTCTTGTGGCGTCTTTTAGATGGTGTTTTTAATGTATTTTTTACTTGTTTGTTTAGGAGGAGGGGGGTTGTTTGTTGTGTTTTTTTAGTGCTTTTGTGGGTTGTTTTAATCTATTTATTTATTTTTTGGTGGGTTGTGTTTTTTATTTATTTTAGGGGTTGTTTGTGTTTTTTGGGTTTTTTTACTTGTTTTGGAGGGTTGTGTGTGTTTTTATTTTGAGGGAGTAGCAATTCGTGTTGTATTTGTTTGTGTGTTTTATTGCATTTATTTTATTTTATTTTTTCGTGTGGAGGGCTGGCTGTAGGGGGACTTATTGTATTTTCTTGTGGCGTCTTTTTGATGGTTTTTAATGTATTTTTACTTGTTTGTTTAGGAGGAGGGGGTTGTTTGTGTTTTTTGTTGGTGTTTTTATTTATTTTCTTGTTTTTGGAGGATTGTGTGTGTTTTTATTTTGAGGGAGTAGCAATTCGTGTTGTTTTTGTTTGTGTGTTTTATTGTCTTTATTTTATTTTATTTTTTGTATGGAGGGCTGGCTGTAGGGGGGACTTTTGTATTTCTTGTGGCGTCTTTTAGATGGTGTTTTTGATGTATTTTTTACTTGTTTTTTTTTTTAGGTATGGGGTTGTTTGTGTTTTTCTGTTCGTGTTTTTTATTGTATTTTTTGTTTATGGTGGGTTGTGTGTGTTTTATTGTCTTTATTTTAATTTCTTGTCTCTTGAGGGGGCAGCAGTTCGCGTAGTTTTGTTTATGTGTTTTTTTATTGTTTCATAGTTTTTTCGTGTCAATAGAATGTTAAATGATTTTTATTGCTCTTTTTTCTGGCTTTAACTTGTGGCGAGTGATAATTGTTTTATCGTTGTTGATTACATAGGAAGTTGTTTTACATTTTAGGGATGTTATTTCTTATCCAGTTGATTTAGAATGGCTTTTTTATTATATTTTTTTGTTTGTGAGCACTGTTTCCCGTTCGTGTGCGTGTGTGAATGTGTGTGCGTGCGTGTGTGTGTGTGTCTGTGTGTGTGTGTGGGTCTGTGCGTGTGTTTGAGGTTGTGTATGTGTCTGTGCGTGTGTATGTTGCTGCACGAACATATTCATACCTCTATGTATATGTAAAGGAGCGTAGTTACAGTGCTAGATCCCTTGAGAAAGCCCCAAACCCTATTAAAAGTAAAATGAAATAGAACTGGCAGGGTTATTTTGGGCTTCCTTCCGCCGTGGTCCTAAATGGCGATGAAAAATTGTCTCCTTCCACCACAGCCCTTTCTTTCATATACGAATAAGTAGATAGATAGATAGATAGATAGATGGGTAAGTTTAGATAGACATAGATGTAAATACTGATATTTGTGTATGTAAATGTGTATGGATGTATCGATATCTATATGTCAATCTGTAGCAATTTATGTACGTATGTATATCACTTAATTTATCTATCCATTCATCACTGCCTATCTTTCTGTCTAATCCTATCTCTATCTATATCTATTTATTTAATTCTCTCTCTGTCTGTCTGTCTGTCTGTCTCTCTCTCTCTCTCTCTCTCTCTCTCTCTGTCTCCCTCTCTCTCTCTCTCTATCTATCTATCTATCTATCTATCTATCTATCTATCTATCTATCTATCTATCCATCTATCTATCTATCTATCTATCTATATCTATCTATCTATCTATCTATCTATTATATATATATATATATATATATATATATACATACATACATATATATATGTAACCTCATTTTTTAGTTTATCAATTTAGTGCATCTCATTTTTGTAATATCTTTTATAAAGTTGTTTTTGCACTCACCCCCTCTTTCTCCCCCCCCCCCCCCCTGCAGCGCGGCCACGAGTGCAAGGCCACGCAGCGCCACGTGGTCCCCGTCCGCCTCCGCTCCGGCTGGTGCGTCAGCGAGCGCCGCTACCGCCCCAAGATGTGCGGCGAGTGCGTGGGGCGCTGCTGCACCGTCCACGCCGCCACCACGATCAACGTGCCCTTCCTGTGCCCGCTCAAGGTCTCCAAGGGGATCAGGGGCGCGAAGGGCACGGCGGGAGGGGGTCGTCGCTACCCCCGCTCGCTCCAGGTCGTCCTCCAGACCGTCTTCGTCCGCAACGGCACTCGATCTCCGTCTCCTTCGTCGTCCTCCCCGTCGGCGCCTTCGTCGTCCGCTTCCCTTCCTTCTTCTACTTCGTTCCCTGCTTCCTTTCCTCACCCGTTCCTTCTTCCCCTTCGCCTTCTCCTTCCTCAGCTGCTGCCCTTCCTTCTCCCTCTCCCTCTCCCTCTCCTCCTCCTCCTCTTCCCTCCCCCTCGCCTCCCCTCGCCTCCTCCCCCGCCCCCGCCGCCGCCGCCGCCGCCGCAGCGTGTGGAGCCCCTTCTTCCCCACCAGCGCCGCCTCCAGCGTCTACGACATGATGGACGAGGGCCAGCCGAGGACCCACGACCGCTACCGCTACTCGCACCACCAGTACAACCACCACAAGTACGACCCCGCCGCCGGCTTCTACTACTACCAGCGCGACTTGAACGACAACAGCAACGGCGACGACTTCCACCCCGACGCCGGCAGGAACTTCCGGTACGACACGGAGGGCGGCCATTACGAGCACGACCCGACCATCAGCCTGGAGGAGCTGCAGGAGGAAGAGGAGGAGAACTACCTGCCGTCCACGACCACCTCCGCGACGTGGCAGCAGCAGGACTACGACGGTTACAACAACAATGACAATTTCAACAACTACGACCACCGACAAATGGCAAAGGAGAACGACCCCCCTCTTCCCCGCCACGACTACGACCAACAGCAGCCTCCGACGACCACGGCCGACGTCCTGTACGACCTCCCTCTCCCCCACGAAGACCTCACCGTGGCGGACGACATCCAGTACGACTGGGTGACGAGCGGCGAGTATGAGGTCGTGACCCGCCCAGTCGAGTGGATCATCAGGTGTGCCTGCACCTTCTCCTCGCCTCCCTCTTCCTCCTCTTCCTCCTCTTCCTCCTCTTCCTCTTCCCTCCTCCCTTCCCCGTGCGATGCCTGGAAGCCCATCCCGGTCGCAGGCACATGAGAAGCGGCAGAGAGGGATTAGACTCCGAAGAAGAAAGATTTGCCCGCCATTAGGCAGTCTGGAGGCCAGCCGTCGGGACGAGTGTGTTCCGATCGCCTGTATCTATTAGGGTTTTAGAATCTGTCTGGCAGAGAACCGGTGTCAAGAAAGAGAGAAAAAAACCGTATATATACATATCTAGAAAGATTTTCTGGAATACATGTCTTGAAAAAAGAATATTAGAAGTGTTTATCATTTTCGGAATGTATTTATCTCGTCTTCTGTGTTCATAGATAACCCTTGTGCGAATGTGTAGCTAAATGGTCGTTGGAAATGTTCTCTGGGACACAACCCGTAATTAAGACAACGATGGAACATATCAGAAAATCCACAAATATATATATATTTTTCTCCCCGTGTTCGACAGGGTTACATCTGTTGGGCTTAGGCTTAAGTTCATTAAGTTTATTCACATCTCTTTACCATTATCCCGATCTATTTGTAAATCAGATCATTTGCGAATATTCATCCAGATTTGAATTCAAGCAGAGAAATCGAATGGAAATGCCATGTTGCCAAACTTTCACAACGGAAATCTCTCAGTGTCAATTATTAATAAGATAAATACAGAAAACTGTACATACGATGATATACATTTCACGAAAGCAATAGATGTCATAAATGTTCTATACAGTAATAGATAAATAAGAGAAATCTTCCGTGCAGTAATGAGGATAGAAAACGTTACATACATCGAGGACGGGAACAATAAACAGTCTTTTAAAACGCGTAAAAGATCGGGTGAGTGGAGAATCTGATCTTGTCTTCGTTACAGTTAAAACTCTAGAGATTATAACAAAATGTATTATATAATGGATTGTTATCTGACGCAATAAGGAGAATTCCCTTGTATTTCATAAAATATACAAATGTGGATTATAAATGTATAAGTTAACCATACATATACATGATTGTGTGTGGATATGTATGTTTGCAGATGAACATGCATATATATATATATATATATAATATATATATATATATATATATATATATATATATATATATATATATATATAAATGGATGGATGCAAACACCATATAACAAAATGTATCATATAATGGATTATTATCTGACGCAATAAGGAAAATTCCCTGTATTTCCCAAAATATAAAAAAGTGGACTATAAATGTATAAGTTTAAAGACTCAGCCACAGGTTTCTTGTCAAGTGGATTTCATATCACGATTTCACTCCTGTTAAGACTATCAAACCAGGTGATTTTAATATAGCAATTACGATGTATTGGCACCTAGGTCGTTGGCTGTAGTTCCTATGTGGTTAGATAGGACGCATCCCAATCTGTGGTAGGTGTACATAGAGTATTTATATCGATAATAAAAGACGTGGTATTTAAGCTGTGGTTTATTTTTATTTTCAACCAGGTGACTAATGTGATTTAAATTTATTCTGCTGACATGTTTTATTGTTAGTAAAAATATCATCAAAGTTTATTAGCGAATACTGTCATTTTTTATAATAAATAATTACAGAAATCATGGTTACACAAGAGAATAATGAAGTAAAGAATAGCCATGGTAACAAAAGTTTAATTAAAAAATCCGTAAGCAGTTAATCATACTGATTATGGCAATGAGTATAATGGAAAGGCTAGTGGTTATAAAAATGATGATAATGATGATGATGGTAGTGATGATCATGATTATAATGATGAAAATTATCATAGTAATGGCAATCTTAATGGTATTGATAACAATAACTGTAACGACAATAATAATAATAGTAATAATATCAATGATAATGATTATGGCAATGAGAACAGTGATGATAATAATATAAATGATGATTACAATGATAGGAATAGTAATGGTAGGGATAATGAAATTAATAATGAACGCAATAATGATAATATTTTTAAAATATTATCATTAGTAGTAGTACTAGCGGTAGTAGTAATGATACTGGTACAACTGCTACTTCTACTAGTACTTAGAATAACCATGATAATAGTGATAACAATAACAACACTAATGATAATAATGGCAATTAGTAATTATAGTAGTAATAATGAGGATGATGATAAGAATGATCATATTGATAATCGTGATGATAAAGATAATCAGGATAACAGAATTAATAGTGATAATAACACTAATGATGATAATAAAGCGATAATAATAATTATGATAACAACGATAATGATAATAATAACAACAATGATAATGGTAACGATAACAATAGTAATGATAATAACAATAATAATAACAATAACAATAATGCTATGATAATATACATAACAATATTAATGAAAAATAATGTTAATAGGTATAAGAATAAAGATAATAATATTAATACAAAATATGAAAATAACAATGATAATAATGCTAATAATAATAATAACCTAGATAATGATATTAATAAAAAATATAAAAATGCTGATGACAATAATAATAGCAATATCAACAATAGTAATAATTATAATAATAATAATGCTAGTATTGATAGTAATGATAGCAACACAAATAACAATAGCAATAATAACGATAATAATAACGATGATGCAAATAATGATAATAAGTATATAGATAATTTATGATAATCATTAAGGGGTCATCCATAATTTTCATCATTATCACAAGTCTACAAAGCGTAGACTTTAGAGCACCCCCCCCCCCAAAAAAAAAAAAAAAATGTACGAAAAATGATGATGGATCCAGATCTCTCCATGTATATGTGGATTCCTATTTTGTGATTATACGAAAAAATACATGAATTCAATGCCATGTTGTTTTATTGCTCTTTCGCTGTATTAAAATCAAAAGTCTGATGACAGGACTAAACAAAGAGCATACGGATTTTTTTTTTTTTTTCTTTTCTTTTCTTTTCTTAAGCTGTATTTTATTTACTTGTTATTATTATTTTTTTTATGACTACAGATGGTTTGATGCAAAAAGAAAAGTATTTAAATCAATGAAATATCCCCCATGTTCAAATAAATCAAACATAAAAATTGCTGAAACCGTCCAGATATGAACTGACATGATGTACCAGACCGAACGTCATCACGGCTTAAATTTCATCCGATGTCAATTCAGCTGAGTCTTCCAGCTGGGCATCACCAAAGGCAGAGTTACAGTTCCATTGAGTGACTTTAAAACTTCAGTCATGCAACGCGCTCTCTATGAATAGTCGTGTATGTTTTGGATAAATGAAGTTTACAGGTTCAGTGTCGTATTTTCTATAGTTATACATCTAATACGTTTTCTGTAAAGAGATGCGGGTCCATTTTCTGTTGTTGAGAGGTACATTATTGTCTTAATAATGCGCTTGATGTATGTTGTTTTATACAGTGCAAATAACAAGAAAGTAATGCGTGGAATCTTATAATCATCAGACTCTGACCTTACCCACTGTTAATGTACTCTAATATCCATCTGTTTATGATAGTGTATGGTTCAATTTTCTCATTTATATCCGTTTTCTTTATCCTCTCATATTTAGAAAACGGCAGGAATGTTTCTACGGAAAAGCGGCCCACCCTGCCAGCAACACCGACGAGGCGCGAAATTTGCCCACTGACGGATCATTATTTTTCATATTCGAAAAAGTGTACGCTTGGCCTATCCCCCCCCCCCCCCACGTACAGTATGTATGCTCATGATAATAGTGAAATTTTTGGTCGACCTTTAATAAAAGGATAAAAATATTGATATTAATTATATTAATGATATTAACTGAATGCTAACAATAATGATGATAATGGTAATGATGGTTGATGATAACTGTGTTGATAACTGATATCAATAACACCAATAATGGCAACAAAGATAACATGATAATACTGACCATAAAAACAATATTATAACAATAATCTAATAATGAATTATGATACCAATGAAAATGATTAACAGCAACACAATTATCCTATGAATATTATAGCGTAAATTATCATTTTTCTTTACAGTATCATTACCAGATGTATTACAAAAAACAGTAATAAGCAATTTTTATGTCTAATTTATTTGGGAAATATTTTGATATTGCTTTAAATACTTAAATACTTTTATTTTGTATTAAACCACCTGTAGTCATAAAGAAAAAAAGTAAAGGAAAAAAAAGAAATAAAAATACAGCCAACAAACCTAAAGGAAAAATAAAAGGTAAAAAAGAAATAAAAATACAGCCAACAAACCTAAAGAAAAAAAGAAAAAGTAAAAAAAAAATAAAATAAAAATACAGCCAACAAACCTAAAGAAAAAAAAAGAAAAAGTGAAAAAGAAATAAAAATATATCCAACAAACCTAAAGAAAAAAAGAAAAAGTAAAGAAAAAAGAAATAAAAATACAGCCAAAGATAAGATACGATGGGGGGGGGGAATGAATGATAATACGGAAAAGATAAAGATAGTTGTGATAAGATGGAAAGGGGAATAACGATGAGATGAGAGGAAATAGATGATAATACGAAGAAGTTAAAGATAGTGGTGATGAGATGGAAGAGGAAATAACGATGAAATGGGGTGATACGAAGGAGATAAAGAAATAAAAATACAGCCAACAAACCTAAAAAATAAATAAATAAATAAATAAATAAATAAATAAAAACAGCCAACAAACCTAAAAAAAAAAGAAAAAAAGTAAAAAAAAAAAGAAATAAAAATACAGCCAACAAACCTAAAAAAAATAAAAATAAATAAAAAAGTAAAAAAGAAATAAAAATACAGCCAACAAACCAAAAAAAAGAAAAAGAAAAAAAAAGTAAAAAAAAAAAAAAGTAAAAATACAGCCAACAGAGCCATTACAGAAGACAGCACAGGAAGCAACGCCCCGAAGAAGCACTGGCCGAGCTGCACTGAACGGTGAGCGAGAGAGAAGACACGGGGAGCTCGAGACTCTCAAAGGAGGAAATTAGGTGCAGTTATTTTTGCGCGCGAATAAATGGTTGGGACAGAAGGGTGGAGCGGAAGGGGGGCGGTATTGCGAAGTGCGTGTGTGTGAGAGAGAGAGAGAGAATGAGAGAGGAGGAAGGGTGGGGAGGGAAGGAGAGAGAGAGAGAGAGAGAGGAGTGGGGAGGGAAGGAGAGAGAGAGAGAGGGAGAGAAGAAAGAGAGAGAGAGAGAGGAGGGGGGTGGGGGAGGGTTGGAGGGGAGGAAGGGAGGGAGAAGGAATGAGAAAGGAGGGTGGGGAAGGTGGGAGGGAGAGGGAAGGAAGGGGTAGGGGAGGGTTGGAGGGAGGGAGAGGAATGGGGTTGGGGAGAGTAGGAAGGAGAGGGGAGGAAAGGGTAGGGGAGGGTTGGAGGGAGGGAGAGGAGTGGGGTTGGGGAAGGTGGTAGGGAGATGGGAGGAAGAGGTTGGGGGTGTATGGAGCGAGAGAGAGAGGGAAGGAAGGGGTTTGGGGGTGTATGGAGGGAGAGAGAGAGGGAAGGAATGGGTAGGGGAGCGTATGGTGGGAAAGTGAGTGGGGGGAAAGGTGTGAGGGAGGGTAAAATGGAGAATGAGAGGGAGGGGAGGGATTGGGGATGACAAGAGGGGAAAAGGGGAAGGAGTGGGGGAGGATAGGAGGGGGAGTGAGACAGGGAAGGAGTAGGAGAGGGTATTAGTAGGGATGAGGGAGGAAAGGACTGAGAGAAGAGGGAAAATGAGAGGGATAGTAGGATGAATGGAAGGGAAAAGAGAGGGAAGGAAGGAACTAGTAAGGATAGGAGAGAGGGAGGGAGGGGGGGCGACGGGAGGAGAAGGAGGAATAGGGAGCGAAACAAAGAGAAACAGGTAAGCAGCCAGGCAGGCAAAGAGAAATTAGAGAACCAAAGAGAGAGAAATATATACAGATACCCGGATAGATAGAGATAGTCAGATAGAGAGAGTGACAAACAAAAGACAGAAAACAAATAAAAAAACATAAACAAACAGGAACAGACAGAGAGAGAGACAGAGACAGACAGGCAGACAGAGAGAGA